CCCCAGCCGGGGGGGCTCTTTTATGGCCCCTCGAGTTCCAGCGAGGGCTCGCCCCGGCGCGAGAAGCGAGTAGCTGGTCACCACGGCGGGCAAGGCGGAGGGGGGACGGGCCACCCCCGACGCCCCAACCGTCCATGAGGCCTCCCGCGTGGCGGCGCCCGCGGCGGTACCCGGATTGTCGGAGGTCCGGGGCCCCTGAAAACCCCCACGCATTGAGCGTGGGGGCGTGTAGGGGGCTGGAGGCCAGTGCCGGGGTGCGGGATTCCCCCCGGCCCGTGCCATATCCCGGCTCCCCGGGAGGACTCGGGGCCCCTCCCAGAGATGGGGGGGAGGGCATGCCCTGGCCGGAACAGCCGCCGCGGGTAGTGGAATGAACTCAGATGGCGGATAATACTCTTTTGGGAAACAAGAAGGATAACGGGGGGGACCCCCACCGTCAACCTCCGGTTGGGGGAAGACGGGGAAGGGGGAAGCGGGAGGGGAAAGGCCAGCCAAGGTTGGAAGGATGGCGGCTGACCCGGACCCTCTCGAGGAAGATGACGAAGGTTGGGCCGACTGGATGACGGCGTTCGGAGAGCGCGTCATCCGGAAGCCGGGAGCAGTCGCCCAATTGTACAAGGAGGTGCAGGGCCTTTCTCCTCTGGAGGCGGGTGGAAGGGTACTCCAGTTGGCGGAGGACTGGAAGACCTACACCCTCGACGAGGACGGGGATACCTGGTGGACGGAGATGCCTCCGGAAACGAGGGAAGATTTAGATACCTTCGTGAAGGAGATATGTGTAGGGGTGTATCGATTGGCCGATGATTTGGAGACTGCAGTGCATAGAGTGGAGGAGCTTCGGGAGGAGAACGACAATCTGAAGGCCCTTCTCGCTGAATCGGTGAAGGTGTTTGAGGAGGACCGGAGGACTGACCGAGAAGCTGCACAGAAAGGCGAGGAAGAGCGGAGGGCTCTCGAGAAACAAGTCGAGCAGCTGGCGGCCCGAATCGAGGAGATCCAGAGGGACGCCTTCCCCCGGGCGAAGGCTAGGCCTGCCATGAGGGAGGTGTCTGTGCAGACGGAGGTGAGGAGTGCCCCGAACACCGGGGGTACCGCTCAGGGGGTGCAGCAGGAGGAGGAGGAGGGGACGCCGGATTGGGCGAAGGACCTCAAGTGGGAGGTCTCCCGCACCATGAGCGCCCTAGCGGAGAGACTGGGGACAATCGAGAGGCGACTCGATTGTACTACCATCCAAGGGAGGATGCCTCCGAGTAAGGGAAGAGGGAAGGGCGGGGAGGAAACCCCCGCCCTCCCGGCTCTGAAGCCGGAGAGGAGAAGGAATGCGGCGCGGCTCCCGGCGGCGAAAGACAGCGGGATGGCTGTACAACTCCCGCGTAGCCCTCGGGGGACGGCCGCAGTGTCCATCACGGTCCCTAATGGGACAAAGGAGGAGTACGCCGCCGTCCTTCGGGCCGCGAGAGATAAAGTGTCTCTCGACGGCCCGGGGCTGAATGGCGTGAGGATGAGGAGAGCCGCCAATGGGGCCTCCTACTGGAGGTCCCCGGCAGTGATCGGGCGAGGGGGGCGGATACCCTCGCCAAGGAATTGGCGGGCGCCCTAAAGGGCACTGGTGCCAGGGTGTCCAGGCCTGGTAAAACCGCGGAGGTGCGGGTGGCGGGCCTGGACGACTCTGTCACAGAGAAGGAGCTCATCAAGGCTATACTGGAGGTGGAGGAGGTAACCTGCGGGCCTGGGGAAATCAGCATCCAAATGCTGCCCCAACACCCCGGCAGGATGGGTGTGGCGTATGTACGGTGCCCTGTTGACGCCGTGCGTGCGCTCGCCTCTAGGGGAAGATTGAGGGCGGGATTCGCCTGGTCGACTGTCTCGAAGGCGAAGCCCCGCCCCCAAGGCCCTCGAGGAAGGGCACCTCGGGCAGCGGTGCACCAGCGCGGTGGATCGCAGTAAGCGGTGCTACCGCTGCGGTATGGTCGGGCACCCTGCGAAGGGGTGTACGAGAGAGGCTAAGTGTCCGCTTTGTACGGACCTTGGTATCCCGGCAAGCCACAAGCTGGGAGGAGAAGGATGCGGGAGGACTCCCCCCCAAGGGGCCGAAGCCCAGTGGGGATAGGACTCGTCCCCCCGTGCGACCCCCCATAAGGGGAAAGAAGAGGAGCAAGGAGCCCGACTCCCTGGAAGAGGGGTCGGACTCCTCATCGGGGGACACGGTGTTAGTGTCCCCTGGAAGGAGACAGCCGGTACCAGAGACAGCGGCGATGAAGTTTCCCATCAGACTGTGGAAGCCTGATGAGGGGGACAATGCTGGTGCTGGCGGGGACGGCCATATGATTGTTGTCCCATAGGAGTAGGGGAGGAGAGGGAGGCATCCATCTCCAACCTGTACACACCTCCCCCCCAGCGTGACGAGGAGAAGGGGGATTAGGGGGTCTCTTGGCGTCCAGGTCCCGCCGTAAGAATAGGCCTGGGGTATCTTCTGCCTGTCGTAAGAGGCGACTAAAAGGAGATGTTGCCAGGAAGTCCTACGGGACTCCTGGTGGGCGGGCGTGGGTTGGAGACCCACGACCCGCCCTCCCCCACAAGCAACTAGGGGGAGCGGCGAGGGGCCGGTGGCACTCTCGCCGCGGAGTGGAGGAGTCGGCCCTCTTCAGGGCCAGGGCCAACAACGGCCCATAGAGGTGCGCGAAATAACGCGCGGCGCGGGGGCTGTTAGGCAGTCATACGAGGTAGTTCCCAGGCAGCCCCCATATAGCGCATAGAAGTCCACCCCCGGTGGGTTTAGTGCGGTATGGCCTCCATTGCACTGCTGGCCCCATGGGTTGTCAAATGCCCAGGGGCCAGGGAGGTCAGTCCCACATACCACCCGTCCCTCTCTCCAGGGGGGCGGGTGATGATCCATAAAGGATTCCCCCGGGTCACCAAAAAAAAAAGGTTAGGACTAGGAAGTAAGGTAATAAATAAATATTTAGGTCAACTGCACGCGACAAACATTTACCGAAACTTTTATCAGCCCATATATTTACCGTATGTACATATATTTGTTAATATATAGTAGATTAGTGAATATTCTGGCTGACAACATTAGCCGACAAATATTTGCCATTTACAGTAGACTAATTGTAAGTTTAAAATAATGTTTTAATTTGCAATTTTATTAATTAAATTAAAATTTTACATATACATTTTAATAAGTATAACACGGCGGCGAGGTGCAGGGGAGACGTTTGCATAACGTCGTATATTCTTGAATTTACATCTACCTGAAAGAAAAGCAGCCTGTTAACTACTAACTTTACACTTTACATGTGTGACAATCTTTAGAAATTAAATTAGTTACTTGTATCGACAGCCAAAAAATAAATCTCCAGTCTTTTCTGTATGCAAGAAATCTATATTCGGGTGTAGCACAGCAGGAGGGAGATGATCTGCAAGTGCTGATTCTGCATTGCCATGTACACCAGGGTCTTCCCCTCTGTGTCACGAGCGTTCACATTAGTCCTGTGCTCGATGAGCACCTGAACGACTTGCTCCAAGCCCCGCTGGCAGCACAAATGGTGTACACTCGTTCCTCGCCTCATCTGCGTCAGAACTGAAACTGAAAGGGAAACCCGGCAGTTTGTAGTCACCGATTTTAATCAAGTTTTGTGGGTGTGTTATACTCACACAAACTTATTTTCTGCTAAAGCCGTACAGCGCACTATTCAGGCATTCTCGAGAAAATAATAAACATTTTCCAGCAACATTAATACCCGTGCGGAAGAGATATTGTTGAAATGAAGGCGTAGCAGCGCATTAGAAAAAATTCGTCTGAAAATTATACATAATATTTTATTATATTAGAATACTTACAGCAAAAAATCAAGTAATTCGCCGCGCTCGTAGTGTCCTTCACGTTAATAGACTTCTTTGTCTCCAAAAGACGTAAGCAACATCCAACGATCAAATGCGCTATGCATTTATTCGTATCTCCCTCTCAGTTGCTATGCGCTCAGCGAGGGCACGAAGAAGGCACGCTGAACGCACGCAGTGCTGCCGTCTTCGTTACACGGTGTGCCTTCTGATGCCGTTACCGTGCAGTCACCGCGTGCGCTTCCACGCAGTGAAGACACGGTGGCAGCACAGGGACCGCACGTAGTGATAGCACTGCGTGCTTTATCCGTGCGTGGCACGGTTGGCTATCTGGGATTCATCCTGTATAACTTTGAACTCTCATATCTCTAAAACTAAATGTCACCAACCAAGTTGAAACTTTTTTCTATTAATATCTTATCATAAGGAGTTGATTCGCATATGAATCGATCCCGAAATCGAGGGCTGCAAAAGGGGCGAAAAACCCGTCCTTTTTACAGTCACTCTTTCTGATCGATTACGAGTGCGCATCCACGAGAATGTTACACCTGGTATTCTTGCACCATGTATCAAACTATCTTTCAAAATGTCTTCCGTTGTTGATAAATCGTGACATAACTTACTTTATCAATACCTTAAAATTTATATTTTTATAATTAACTAAGAATTTAAAACATTAGTCTTCATGGCTTCCGGATGGTTGCCGCGTCTGTTTGCAGTGTGGTGCCGACGTTTCGCAGGCGTTGCAGTCTGCTTCATCAGGCCTGGGAGACTCTGATACCGAGCTCCCTCGCGTTGCGCTAGTCCTTTTATACTCGTTCTTGGGGGGGGGAAATGGGAGGGGTAGTCAGGGGGAGGGGGTGGTCAGAGGGAGGGGGGTCAGCCTATGCTGGCTGACAGTTTTTTAAAAAACCGGGAGGGCGGTGTGCCATATAGGACTCACCTGATAGCCTTTGTCGCGATTCAGATTGTCAGGGTGTTTCAAGATTTCTATGCCTTCGCGGTGTTTCCGTGCGAAATAGCTTTGGGACGGGGCCAGCATGGTGGCTTTGTCGAACTGGATTGCGTGTCCGGTCTCGATCTTGTGTTCGGCTAGAGCTGATTGTGAGAAGTGGCCGTATTTGGTACATCGCTGGTGTTCTTTGATTCGTGTACTAATCTTCCTCCCGGTTTCTCCTATGTACACTTTGCCGCAGGAGAATGGGACCTTGTAAACCCCTGGGGCTGTCAAAGGGGGTCTCCGGTCCTTGGGATTGGGGAGCATTTGTGAGAGCTTGTTGCAAGGCTTGAAAATCGCTTTGATGTTGTGTTTGCTCAGGATTCTGCTAATGCGGTCCGTGGATCCTCTGACGTATGGTAGGACTACTGCCTTAATCGTTTCTTTCNNNNTTTTATACTCGTTCTTGGGGGGGGGAAGGGAGGGGTAGTCAGGGGGAGGGGGTGGTCAGAGGGAGGGGGGTCAGCCTATGCTGGCTGACAGTTTTTTAAAAAACCGGGAGGGCGGTGTGCCATATAGGACTCACCTGATAGCCTTTGTCGCGATTCAGATTGTCAGGGTGTTTCAAGATTTCTATGCCTTCGCGGTGTTTCCGTGCGAAATAGCTTTGGGACGGGGCCAGCATGGTGGCTTTGTCGAACTGGATTGCGTGTCCGGTCTCGATCTTGTGTTCGGCTAGAGCTGATTGTGAGAAGTGGCCGTATTTGGTACATCGCTGGTGTTCTTTGATTCGTGTACTAATCTTCCTCCCGGTTTCTCCTATGTACACTTTGCCGCAGGAGAATGGGACCTTGTAAACCCCTGGGGCTGTCAAAGGGGGTCTCCGGTCCTTGGGATTGGGGAGCATTTGTGAGAGCTTGTTGCAAGGCTTGAAAATCGCTTTGATGTTGTGTTTGCTCAGGATTCTGCTGATGCGGTCCGTGGTGCCTCTGACGTATGGGAGTACTACTGCCTTAATCTTCTCTTTCTCTGTCTCTGGTGTCGTGGTGTTGTTCTGGCCGGATTCCTTGTTGGTCAGCTTATTGATGGTACGGTTGATGTTTCTGCTGCTGTATCCGTTCCTGGTCAGGGTTCGGTGAAGGTGGTTTAGCTCTCCGTTTAGGGCGGCTGGTTCCGAGATGGAGAGTGCTCTGTAGACTAGAGAGCTGATTACCGAATTCTTTTGGGCGGGGTGATGGTGGGAGTTTGCGTGGAGGTATCGGTCCGTGTGCGTTGGTTTGCGGTAGACGTGGCTTAGGGTGCCGTCTTCGTTCCTACGGACCAGGACATCCAGGAACGGTCTCCATTGTGAATTGGATGTTGGGATGTTGGGAGTTGATGAAAGTGAGGAATTGAGGTAGAGTTTCCCCATCCGTGGTCCCATACGTCAGAGGCACCACGGACCGCATCAGCAGAATCCTGAGCAAACACAACATCAAAGCGATTTTCAAACCTTGCAACAAGCTCTCACAAATGCTCCCCAATCCCAAGGACCGGAGACCCTCTTTGACAGCCCCAGGGGTTTACAAGGTCCCATGCTCCTGCGGCAAAGTGTACATAGGAGAAACCGGGAGGAAGATTAGTACACGAATCAAAGAACACCAGCGATGTACCAAATACGGCCACTTCTCACAATCAGCTCTAGCCGAACACAAGATCGAGACCGGACACGCCATCCAGTTCGACAAAGCCACCATGCTGGCACCGTCCCAAAGCTATTTCGCACGGAAACACCGCGAAGGCATAGAAATCTTGAAACACCCTGACAATCTGAATCGCGACAAAGGCTATCAGGTGAGCCCGATATGGCACACCATCCTCCCGGTTTTTTAAAAAACTGTCAGCCGGCATAGGCTGACCCCCTCCCTCTGACCCCCCCCAAGAACGAGTATAAAAGTACTAGCGCAACGCGAGGGAGCTCAGTATCAGAGTCTCCCAGCTCTGATGAAGCAGACTGCAACGCCTGCGAAACGTCGGCACCAAAGAGGATCGGATAGAGTGGAAGCTGCCATAAGAGCACAATGTTAAATAGCGTGGCCGAGTTTCAGAGCCATCTACCAGCTCAGAGGCCATCCTAAATCCCCCTACTCTTCAATATATCGAGAAAAAAAATCTTGCTCGCCGGGAATCGAACCCGGCTCGCGCGGATGACGGTCCGACGTCTAACGCACACGGCTATCGCGTACACTCGAGAATACATGAATGTTAAAAAGTTACATAAGCTGCACGGTGACACACTACACGTAGTGCGTCTCCGAACTGCCAGATGGCACGAATCGCGGTGCACGGCCAGCTTCCACTCTATCCGATCCTCTTTGGTCGGCACCACACTGCAAACAGACGCGGCAACCATCCGGAAGCCATGAAGACTAAAGAAGACAACAGCCGTGAAAGCCTGAAAGCCAATTTAAAACATTAATAATATTCAATTATTATATCATGACACACGGCAACGGCTACGCATAATAACTCCACGCACGGCTAGCAACGCCGATCGCGGGACGGTCGCATCTCGCCGCACGCTTGAATTGGGTAGTAAGGCGGGCTAAAGCCAACGGCACACGATACTATTTTCCTACTTAATTGCTTATGAGAGGCAATCAGGACGCAGAGTTTTAGATTAGGTAACTTAAGGCTAAAGCCGACGGCACACGATACTAATTTTTTTCCTACTAGTTTGCTTACGAAAGCCAATCAGGATTTAGCCTTAAGTCACCTGATCGAAAACTCTGCATCCTGATTGGCTCTCGTAAGCAATCCAGTAGGAAAAATTGTATCGTGTACCGCCGTTGATTCAAGACAGCGATTTTTAATATCTCATTGCGAAAATTGTAAAATGGTAGAGAACTTCTCGACTTGTGAGTCTAGTCGACTCTATCCAAAAATAAGATGTGAAGCGATTATATTACATATCCTTTATAATCTAATTAAATTAATTATACAGAATATGACGCTATGTAATATTTGAATTATTTGTAATGTATATACATTACTTGGATGAATTTGATGAATTTACATTACTCGCTTGAATTACATTTTGATTCGATACATTATGTTGATTCGATACATTATGATGTTGATTCGATACATTATGTTGATTGATTCGATACATTACTTGGATTTGGGGATGTCCTAATCTGTACATACCCGGAGGAAATCGTGGTAAAAATGGTTTAGCTGATACCATTACAGCAGGGCGTCTGCCTCTTGCCATAGGAGGAATTTGTCCTCTTAGACCTAATGGGAACATAGGGCTTACTACGGGTCTCGGAGGGAAACTCTAAATGTAAATTAACAAAATATATATATATTAGAAATACAATTTTTGAACAAGTTAAAAACATTTAGATCAATAGTTAAATTTGTATTATGTAATATACGAGGTCTGTTACTTCAATTTTATGAATTTGAACAAAGTTACGTCAATACTTTAAAA